TCACCAGGAGGGACTGACTCAACAGCAGTTGACTGAGACAACAGCATGGCCTGCTGATGTACCGGGTCCTAACAGGCTATGGTTAGAGATTTTGAAGAAAGGGCATGAAAAGGGCAAAGCTGTCACTTCTCAAGCCAGCCCACAGTCTACACCCAGCATGGAGAAGCTCCCTGCTGGACCCAGTACTCTGGGAGGAAACAGCAAGGTGTACATGAAGGACTAACTCGTCTTTTTCAGGTTGCCAGGCGACCTCTCAGGGTTCCAAGTTAAAGAGCAGCCAGTTTTGCTGTATGCTATTTTTCTTCTCTCCTAAAAAGTCAAAAAGCGTGGATAATATGACTTTCGTGTGGGAAATAAGCGAATGAGGAAAAGAAACTTTTCCAAAGATGATTTCAACCACTGCAGTAACATTAAGACAGCAAATGGTCTCGATCTCTATCAAGCAATACACCAACAGACCATGGTTTTAGATAAAAGGTCATCCCCCACCCTCCCGTCTGTTTTTCTTCTTCCATTCACATCTTAACACAAATCAATGCCAATTTTGAACAAAACGAGGTTGATCTTTAATGTTAAAACTGGGATCTTACTTTACTTTTTTACTATTCTATGGAGTTCATAATTAATTTGCCTTTTCCTCACTCCTTGAACTGAGTCCAGGACTACCTGGGGGCTGAAGCAGCCCCATCCATTTGTGTGTTAAACAAAGACAAAGGAGGGGGGAAAGACATTGAGTAATGAAGAGCATGTATCTGCTGGGGCTTTTAAAGCTATAGGGTTTCTTTTCTTTCCTTCAAAAAGCTGTACACAATAAATTACATTGCAAATAGAAATGGATTAAGTGAAACTGAGAGATCAGATGAGAAGTCGTGGGGCGCCAGTTTCTGTAGCAGGTCCTTAATGGAGGGTGCTCTGGGATCGTCAATTTGGAAAGAAAAAAAAATCAAATCAAAAGCTATTCCACACTAATTCTGCAGACCTCATCCTCTTTGTTTTCATAGAATTCTGCCACTGTTTTATTTTCTATAAGATCTTTGTTGTTGCAAGTCCCCTAATATTCTGCAAAGTTTACTTCCTTAAAGGCCAACGGAAAAGAAGTTTAATACTGTTCGCATATTCATTTCAAAAACATTCATATATACATATATATAATATCAGCTGTGTAGCTCCCCTTGACATTTTTCATTACTAGCACTAAGACTATGAGCAGATACAAGACAAAAAAGATAATAATAATAAAGAGATCTGTATATTTTTCCTTTTCATATTCAAGCTCATTTCAAGCTATGAACTGCCTTCATCCCTGAGACTGTATGAAGGTCGTTCATTTTATTTTCCTTTGGGAAAGTCAGAACAAAAAAGGAATTGTGATTTGATTCCCTCTGTGGAATCTCACTTCATTTCGTTGATGTTGGGGATGCAAACCTGGTTTTCCTCCAGTCTGGAGAGAAGTCCCTCCCCGCACCCCGCCCCCTCTGTTATGGTGAGTATCTAGCAGAGTTCAGCAAATATAGAAAATGCTCTATAAATTGGCAA